ACGCGGCCCGGCCTTGCAAACTATTGTGCAATCTGTGGTCTACAATGACCCCCAAATCTTTCCATTTCTGACTTCCCCGGTGGAGTTCCCATTAATATGTATTCCGTTTGCCTATTTTTAACCCCAAAGTGCATTACTTTACATTTATCGACATTAAACCTCATCTGCCATATAAATTGCCCCTCCCCCTATTTTATCCAGGTCCTCCTGTAATGTTATAATGTCTAATCCCGAGTCTATTACCCTCCCAATTTTAGTATCGTCTGCAAATACTGAAACATGGCTATTACCCCTCCCCGATGTCATTAATAAACAGGTTACACAGTATGGGGCCCAGCACAGAACCCCGGGGCCCAGCACAGATCCCCGGGGGCCCAGCACAGAATCCCCGGGGGCCCAGCACAGAATCCCCGGGGGCCCAGCACAGAATTGAGGCCCAGCACAGAACCCCGAGGCCCAGCACAGAACCCCCGGGGCCCAGCACAGAACCCCGAGGCCCAGCACAGAACCCCCGGGGCCCAGCACAGAACCCCGAGGCCCAGCACAGAACCCCCGGGGCCCAGCACAGAACCCCGAGGCCCAGCACAGAACCCCCGGGGCCCAGCACAGAACCCCCAAGGCCCAGCACAGAACCCCCAAGGCCCAGCACAGAACCCCGGGGGCCCAGCACAGAACCCGGGGGCTATGTGTACTGAACAATCTGTAGATCAATGCAGGATACTACATTCCAAGTACCGATCATACACTGCACCATGCGATCACATTCCTTCCTCTGCAGAGGTCTACATGGGATCTTTGGAAGGATAGGAGACGCTTCTGTCTGTATTTTAGGCGAGATGTTGAATTTTGTTTTTCTTTCGGCCCTCCTCACCGTGACCTGACCACCCGCACTCAGATCTTCACAAGAACATTGCAATGTGGCCGCCTCACCCTTGTTTGGGAATAACCGTGAGACAATCCCCAGTCTGAGCGTCCCAAACACGGATCTGTCCGGCCAGACAGCAGCTCACCAACAGCATTCCATCGCTGGCGAGACATTCGATGTCCTGCGAGACACGGAGAGAACGAGACGCCATTCTGTGATCAGCAAGACAACCCGAGTACAGAAGACAGAGAGAGTGAGAGACATGGGACACATACATAGCAAGAGACGCTGAGACAGCGGAGAGAGACACACACAGACAGCGGAGAGAGACACACACAGACAGCGGAGAGAGACGCACACAGAAAGAGGAGAAAGAGACACACCGAGACAGCGGGGGGAGAGAGAGACAGACAGCGGGGGGAGAGAGACACAGACAGCGGAGAGAGACACACACAGACAGCGGAGAGAGAGAGAGAGACACACACAGACAGCGGGGAGAGAGAGAGAGACACACCGAGACAGCGGGGGGAGAGAGACACAGACAGCGGAGAGAGACACACACAGACAGCGGGGAGAGACACACACACAGACAGCGGGGAGAGACACAGACAGCGGGGAGAGACACACACACAGACAGCGGGGAGAGACACAGACAGCGGGGAGAGACACACACACAGACAGCGGGGAGAGACACAGACAGCGGGGAGAGACACACACACAGACAGCGGGGAGAGACACAGACAGCGGGGAGAGACACACACACAGACAGCGGGGAGAGACACAGACAGCGGGGAGAGACACACACACAGACAGCGGGGAGAGACACAGACAGCGGGGAGAGACACACACACAGACAGCGGGGAGAGACACAGACAGCGGGGAGAGACACACACACAGACAGCGGGGAGAGACACAGACAGCGGGGAGAGACACACACACAGACAGCGGGGAGAGACACAGACAGCGGGGAGAGACACACACACAGACAGCGGGGAGAGACACAGACAGCGGGGAGAGACACACACACAGACAGCGGGGAGAGACACAGACAGCGGGGAGAGACACACACACAGACAGCGGGGAGAGACACAGACAGCGGGGAGAGACACACACACAGACAGCGGGGAGAGACACAGACAGCGGGGAGAGACACACACACAGACAGCGGGGAGAGACACAGACAGCGGGGAGAGACACACACACAGACAGCGGGGAGAGACACAGACAGCGGGGAGAGACACACACACAGACAGCGGGGAGAGACACAGACAGCGGGGAGAGACACACACACAGACAGCGGGGAGAGACACAGTTTTCTCTTGGTGGTATTTAATCACCACTGGGGGTTTTATTTTTTACTATATTAAGGACAAATTACAGAAATTTAAAAAAAAAAAACTGTTTCCCCTATATTAAATTTATAAAACATTTATTATTACCCAATTTTTCGGTAAAATATAAGAGACAGGGTCACGTCGGGTAAAAAGACACCAAACATGTCAAGCCTTAAAATTGCACGCGCCCGCGAAACCTCAAGAAACTACAATACCCAAAATTGGCCATAGGCGACGCTTTAAAAGCTCATCAGTTTAGTGTTATCAGTGATTGATGGCCCTAAAATGATTGCTCTCACTCCGACGTTTGTGGCGATATGTAAAATGTGTAGCGCAATTGTCGTTTTCGCGTGCTGACCCATCTGACGCATATTTACGTTTATATGTGCGTAAACGTGGGGGTGGGGGACTTAAACATTTTGGGGGTTTTTTTGTAAACTTTTTTTTAGTCAAATAAAGTTTTATTCGTATTAAACAGGGTAAAAACATATAACATACATAGCACATTTTCAGGGTACATACAGGTATACAGGCAAGTTGGTCCACAGGACCTAATACACTCAAATGACTCCTTATGGGAGGGGTATCTTCAAGCCATAGTAACCAACGATGAGCTTAGAGCGATAAAAAGCATAAGATCATCCGCCACTGCGGTGTGCCGTGTGGCTCCGTATACCTCATTAAACGGAGAGGGGAGGGGAGGGGGGGGGGGGGGGGGGGGCACACAGAGTAATGGAAGGAAGCGATCATCTCATTTCTTATGGGACGCTCCATGTGCTGTGAGACACAATATGATGATGATGATGATGATGATGGTGGTGGGGGGGGGATGGGTGGAGAGAAGCATTCCCCTCAGTAGCAAGAGATTAGACATTGAGAAAATTCATCTGTAATGTTTTCTTTCACACATATTTACGGGTGACATCGGAACTATTACGCACCATGAGATGACCCCTCAGGACAAGCGGCACGATTTCGGTCTCCGGAGGGGTGTAATCGTAGTAGTCGCACGGCATGTCCCCCTTCTTTCGCCGCCGTTGGGATAAACCGTTCTGTCCGTAGTTCTTGGGGCACAGCAGTCGGTACAGACAGAAGAGCAGCAGCACCAGGAGAATGCCGGACGCCAGGCCCAGGGCAGCCACTCTGCAAAGCATCATGGGAAGATTGTGTCAGGAAGCAGGAGAACATGTCAGGGTGGAATCAGGGAGAGGTGAGGAATGAGAGAGAACATGGCAGGGTGGATGGAGGGATCGGGGAGAGGTGAGGAGATTTGGGGGTGGAAGGGCAGAAATGAGAGAGAACACGGCACAATGTGGCCACCATGCTATGTGCTTACTGGTACAGGGTGATGTCCACTGGGCCATGTGACTTCCTGGGGGGGGCAGCCGGCTTCTCCTCCTCCAAACGTCCATCCCGATGGGGCGCAAAGATGTGCGAGTGCTGCGCCTCGTGGGGATGCCGTGCCTCCGACACCTCCTCCGGGGACAGGTACAGGGTGATAGGGATCATGGGTAATATGCTGATATACCTGCAACACACACAAGCCGTCAGTGTCATGTGATAAAAGACCCAAATAAAGTTTTGTTTTGTATATACAGCAGAGCGGGGGCTGGTACGGGGTAGACGCCAACATATACCGCGGTGTTGCAGCTCAGACGGGAAGGGGGGCGTACTCACTTCTTGGCCAGGGTGACGTTATAGTAGCTGAAGAGCGTCGGCCAGTGCCTGAAGGACAGCTTCCTCCAAGTCTCCTCATCTTCGGGGCCCCAGGTCACCTCCGTGTGGGCCCGATCCTCCTTCGCCTCAGTCCTGCCTTGGCTCTGGTCTTTCGGCCCGCCCTCGCCTCCCCAGCCTCCGGGGCTCCCCCCATCTAACCCTCCCCGGAGGGACTCCAGCACCTCCTGGTGGTCTCTCTCCGATTGGTTCTCCAGCGGCTGGGAAGAGCCCGTCGGGAAGATAGTCAGCGCGTTCTGGGGATCGGAGGCGGGCAGGACGGGCACGGGAAGGGGCGGCACCGCGGCGCCACCCAGGGGGCTCTGCTCGGTCACCTGCACCGACGTCAGGTACGGGCGCAGTCCGGCCGGGTCGGTGTACAACAAGATGCCGATCCAGACGACGGTTCCGGTCTAAGAGGCAAAAGAGAGACACACAGTGAGCCCCAACACTCAATGCCGGGTGACGGCTGCAAAGCAAAGGAGATCCGGCAATGCCGACAAAACCATATTCTACCAGCGAGCCGTCACCCTGTACTGCCCCCCCCGGCATTGTATACGGGCAGTATATAGATAGGTTTATGAGACTCCTCCCACTATATACAGCCAGGTGAGTTACACATTAGACTGCGTGTGTGTGGCGTTTATCTGGAAGATAAAAAGGCTGAAGATGAACTCGATGGACTTTCGTCGTCTCTCGGCTCACGTATCAGAAATCTCTCCAGCGTTCAGGATACGGGATGTGGAAATGTTATTGTAGATTGTATATGTGAATATTGTCCTCGTGTCTCTCGGTGTCGGGATTGCTGGGCGGGGCTCTATTGCAGGGCTTCTTACAGGGTGGGTCGCGGCCACATGTGGGGTCCC